TGTGTGTGTGTGTGTGTGTGTGTGTGTGTGTGTGTGTGTGTGTGTGTGTATTTCCACGTACGTGCATGTATGTACTACGATATGTACTCGCGTTCGTCGCGTTTGCAGCTGGCGCGCATGTGTCTTCGCTCGTGCTTGTTCTATTACATTAGGTGCGTTCAGAAAACACAACCGTTGTGCAACCGTTGAATAATTATCGCCTTTGATTGAGGTGATGTTCTTTTGAATCTATGTCTAGAAGAATATTTCAACGATAGTGGCCGCTTACTCAATCGTTAGACGCAACCATTGTGTTTACAACGTTTGATATACAAAGTGTCCCAGACTCTCCTCACATTAAGTGGGAATATAGAACAGGTTGAGGTGAACATAAAAGTCCTATACCGTTTTGCGATATTCGTAATAATAGTCGAGATGTTACCCAGCAAATAGAACTTAACTGTGATATAACACAGGAGTAACATGTAATATAACTGCTGTTATACGTTATTAATATTGAGGTTACTTAATTTCCTTTATAACTGCAATATAATTCTGTTATAAAACTGTTATGTTATTATGTTATTTACTGTTATTAAGTTATTTAAGTTACATCAACAATATAATAGCAACATAATTTTAATATAACATGTTATATAAGAAGTCTAATGTTTGCATTACATTTCAGTTGTACAATATTTTTATATACAAATGTGAAATTATATTTTAGGTGTTTCTCGTATAAAATGTGATATTTTAATATATGCAAGGATCATTATCACGATATTGTAAAGCTAGAATTCTTACAAAAAGAATCTAATCATAATTTTACTCTGTCAAAATATTGTGAGAGAGAAAGAAGGAACATTCTCTCTCTTTTGCGAGCACATTGTAGGTTAAAATTTAATTACTGATACAACATTGTATCAATATTAATCGTATTGTGATTGTCGTGTCAAACATTTACCAACAAATATGTCATAACATTTTTTGAACGATATAAGAGTATATTGTAAATATCTACCAAGATATCGTTACGGCGCATCGGCATCACCAGTTCCCGTACGTTCGTTGAAATTAAGCATTGAATAACATGATCTAAAAATGGGTAACTGTCTGATATAGGATCGAAACCACGCGTTTCACGAATAATTGAAATAATACGGAATATGAAATGTCAATTTTTTTTTATTATTTAGACAAAATAATCATACATTATCACTTATCTGAACCATACTAATGAATAAATCGTTGGAATTCAACAAAAAAATATATGTGTTAATTCGCTAACGAATAACATATAACTTTTATATAACTTTTTAGTCACATGTTACTTTTATGTTATATTCACGTTATATAACTGTAACACGTGTGAGTAGGAAATTACAACGAACGTCTATACAACCTACTATATACATGTTACATTGCATGTTACATTCCGTTTCATTACGACAATGTAACTATTATATATCTGTGTTTGTTGGGTAATTAAAAACGATTGGTGAATGATCACGCGCGATATGGTAGATGAGCTGCAATGGCGACGTCAGTCGTTGTATATTTATGCATTAAGTGAAACTGAACAAAAAAGTCCTTTACCATTTTGTAAATGACCACATAGATTTTTAGATATTAATTACAGAAAATTTTTGCATTATGGTACACAATCATATATGTGTGTAACAATTTTCTTTAATGTCTAAAAACTATATGGTCATTTGCAAAATGGTAAAGGACTTTTCTGTTCAGTTTGACTTAATGTATAAGTATACAATGGCAAATGGCTCCACTGCAGCTTATCAGCCATATCGCGCATGATCATTCACCAATCTTTTTTAATTAATATCTCGACTATTATTGCGAATATTGCAAAACGGTATAGGACTTTTATGTTCATCTCAACCCGTTCTACATTCCTACTTAAGGTGAGAAGGAGAATGTGAGACACCCTGTATGTATCAAATAGGAACTTGCTATCAAATTTTTCAATTTTGCATGTAAGCGACGGCGTACCGAGCTGGTGGTTATACCATATATAGTATACTGTATCAATTTAATATTCCATCGTTTACATACATTATCGAAATAAAGATAATTTAATATAAAATTGCTAATTGCGCATATTATATTTATAAATATTAAACGGTCGGTAATTTATACATATTAAACAAAGTCACTCATTTTCTTTCGTCGTTTATTTGCGCACAGGCTCAGGAAGCAAATACAATTTTAGAAATTTTCGATGCGATTCACAATGTGTTTGATACTAGATTTTTGCTTTTTTCACTAAATACTAAGTACTGAGGATACTGTGTATCCTCAGTACCCAGCAAACACAGAATATAATTATTATATAACATAGAAGTAACACGTAATATAACGGATGTTATACGTTATTAATGTTAAAGTTACATAATTTTTTTTAACTGCCATCTAACTGTGTTTTAGAACTGTTATAATTCTCTGCTATTTACAGGTTATAATTGTATAACTAACATGACTAACATGACTAAAATATAACAGGTTATATAACAAGAGTTTATTTACATTACATCTATGTTATATAGCATTCTTATATCTAAGGATCGGTCGATAGATGGCTTCCATTTTCTCATGTCTTTCTCGTACGTAAAATATGATATTAATATATATAAGAACGATGATCACAAGACAGCACAACTTGTACTATAGAGTCCACTTTTATAGTAAAGTGAAGTGATGCACTTTTTGATTAATGGAAATTAATGTTACCATAGTAATCCCTTCTATTTGAATATGTACAGAAAGATGGAAATGAATAAATGAAAATAGCTCTAATAGCATAAAATAAATAGCATAAAATAAATAAAATAAAATAAATAGCATAAAATGTCTGAGGACATGCTGGGACACTAAGCGTCTAGAATGGCTCTAGGATGATTCTGGAATATCTTGTATTATTTGAGAGCTATAATTAATTTAGAATGACAAGATATTTTTATGCTATTATCTTTACTAAAAATATTTTTTATAAATATATAATTATAATATTTTAAGGAGCATACTTTTACAAATTAATTGATATTTGAGTGATAGCTTGTAATCTCTGCGTACAATTAAATACCTATAATTACTGGGAAATAATAATTTACATTCCAGCTATATAACATTTCAGCAATATATATAACAGCTATATAACATTTTAGTAACATGTTATATTTCTGTTTCATAGCTGCAATATCGTTTGAGAAATTATAACTAACGTATATGTTACATGTAACAATCATGTATATTGCACGTTATATTCCGTTATATTACGACGATGTAACTGTTATATTATTGTATTTGCTGGGTATATTGTTAATATTCTCTCGATTTCCCTTAACTATAAATACGTACACATTTCAAATTTACATATTGACAAGGAAATGTAGTAAAGCATACATATTGGAAAAGTTAGAAATTGCTTTGTTTCGAAGTAGTCGCGATGAAAGTTCACGAATAACATGCTGTAAAAATATGCTGTAAAACTTTATCTTTTACATATTAAAACAATTTGATATTATCTAGCTAAACACAATTCAATAATAGTGTTTTAAAAAGCTCTTGACACTACCTATTAAATTTTGTAATCAATAATAGGGTGTTATATTAAAAAAAATTGATTTGACCTTGAACTTTAGTGACTCACTTTAGGACTTTAGGAACGCCACCCAAGGTCAAACTGATAAAAACAGTAAATAGATCTTTTTATTAAACCTTACAACTTTTCTGAAATATTTCTTTCTAAAATGCTTAGTTTCCGAAATATTGAAGGATCCCGACACTTTTCGAACACCCTGTATATATACACGTTTAGAGATATTGGATATATTATAGTGAGTTCGTGTTACAACTTTTTACCGAGCAATATGGTTTATTGACAATGGTAATTGTAATCAATCGAGTAGCGTGAAGATGACCTCGCAAATTTCTATATGCTTGCTTCACATGGTAAATAAAACAAAAGTAAAGATACAACACACATTCATATTCAGTCAGTCGAATTAAATAATATTGCATATATACACTAGAATATATACAAACGAAGCAAAATATATGTTCTTATGGAATGAATAAGATACTTATATTTCTCCATAAAAGTTTTTTTTAACATATATGAGAGGATATACGCTTTCAACGCGTGAATGTCAAAGCAAACGCAGTGCATGTATGTCGTAGATGTATCTTCTTTTTGTTTCGAAAATATTGTGCGAGCGAGAGATAACGGTTATATGCGCGCACGCAGAAAAGATATCCTAAAAATCACAAGTTTTATAAAAATATAAATATAATGTAAAAATATAAAAAAATTTGCAAATATTCTCATATACGTTTACAAATGTTTAAATGTTTAAATGTTACAAATGTTACAAATGTTTAAATGTTTAAATGTTTAAATGTTACAAATGTTTAAATGTTTTTATGAAGAAATATAAATACGTGATTATTTTATTAAAAAAACATAGTTTGCTGTATTTATACATAGGATATTCATTTTAAAACTTCTCATCTCA